GTTTGGCTCCTTTACATTAATGCCTTACTCAAAACCAGCTTAAGTTTGAATTAGGCTTGTAATGAGTCTATTCGTGTTTGGCTCAATATTACTCAATATTGCTCATGATCAGCTCCAATCATGCTTGTTCATTTGTTTGCTTGAATGGCTCGCATCGGCTTGAACTCAGCTCTTGTACTAGCTCGAACATAGAAATCAATGCACTCTTTGAATTTTTAAAATATAAATTCATAGCATAAAATCTTACAAAAAAATAACAAAAGACAAATGTTGGAGAAAACTACTGATGCAATATCACATATTCACAAGATAGAAACCAAAAAGAAGAAACTCATCATCATTTGCTCACACCAGTGACCAATCCATCTATACGTCATCTGGTTTGCTTCATTACTTATTAGAAGCATATATAGTCATCACTCAAACGACAGTACCGAATTCTCATTCAATTATAAGAAAGGTAAAATTTTAAAGGAAACAAATCCGGAGAAAATGAGAGTGGCAAAGAGAAAGATATCCATAAGCGATCAAGGCTCTAGAGACGGAGATAGACGCACACTCAAGTGATTGAACCGAGAGCTACAAGAGGTAGAGAAGAACAATCTCAAACCAGCAGCAAACCCTAGAGGCTAAACAAGCTCGATGCCCACAACAAGCAAGAAGTAGCAAAATGAATCACGATTAGGGTTAGGAGATCAAGTGCGAGCGATGGAGTGAGGATTATAACATAAGGGTATGATATAATTATTTTTAACAATATGGTAATAATATTATCATAGCCCTAAATTAATGACTATTTTTATAATACATTTTATCCAATCTAATTTAAATTTTATTAAATAAATAAATTATTTAAATAAATATAAATAAATATTATATATATAGATAAAATTTTTTTAAATAATATTAATGTAATTATTTTAGAATTTTATTTTTCCGAGTTAAAATGAGTTTTACACGATCAAACAAAATGTTGTTTGTGTTCAGGTCATTTATAATTCAAGCTTAATTTTTTTTTTTTTGGTATTCGCCTCGCTTACTTAACAAACGATTCAAACACGAGCTATTTAACAAACCGAACTAAAATTGTTCATGAACAAAAAGCTTTTTTGACGCCTCCTACTGAAAGCACCATATTTTGCATAGACACAACTTCATTCACACAATCAATGAAGGTTATGTCGGAGATTCATCTATTAAGAAATTGATAAGAAAACTTTACAAGAGGATGATGGACACTTTAGAAAAATTATCCACAACACCACTTAAATTAATTGAGGTCCTTAGGAAAAAAAAAGTAAACAGGGAGTATCTAAAATTGAAGTGAAGTGTACTAAATCATGCAATATTTCATTAAAAACATCATAATTTCATTTCAAGTTCCGCACCAGAATGTTAATTAAAAAATGGGGGATTTGCATACATACCATCCAAAACTATATATTTTACTTATGTGGATTTACGTACATAGCATTCATATGCTATAACGGAAAAAATAGTTGAAGAAGACTTATGAGATGTCCTCATAATTAAACAATGAATGATTGCAATTACCTTATTTAGTTTGATGAGATCGTTGATATAATATATGTAATAGAGGCTCAATCACAACTCTGAGGATAGCATAAAAGAGCAGCTTCAGATGGTCTCAATGCAGAAGAAGCTTATAATAACTTTGATTTTAATTGTAATTGCTATGATTTTCTCCCTGATGAAGATAATATGTATGAAATGATTCTGTAATGATAATACATCTTTTCTGTATTGTTAATGTAATTATAGATCTTAGTATCAGTAGATTTTGCTTGAATTTCAATCATAAGAAAAAAAAATCTTAGCAAGCATTTCTTGTACGCCTCAACCGAGGAACTTTAGAACTTCTTGGTTGGGCAGATAATACAGCTGAACGAAATTCATACTCTTGATTTAACAAAAAGAAATTCTTTTTCACAATGATTCTACATGATTACTTTAAAATGAGCTTTCATGACATTCTTCAGTATAAGTTGTTAATGCAAATCAACTTGTATATTCTACTGTCTCAATTAAATTACTTCTAAATCAAAACAATTGGCTTGTTCAAAATTTAGAAGCTCTTGAAATTTTTAAGCATTTAATTTGATCTTTAGTAGAGTGAAAGCATTTTAATTTGACCATTTTCGAGAGCATGAATAAGACAAGAAAAAGAAAATCATTGAAAAAAAAAATTTGTAATTATATCGGTTGTTATGAATAAGCTCACGATAATCAAACTGGATGTCTATCCATCCAAAGTTAATATTTAATACCATGTGTTGGTTTGATTTACATTATTTTCCGCATATCATTTATAAAATATATTTTTAAAGCAAGTTCACTGTTACGCCTATAGAGGAGCCGATCCTCCTTGGCCGGCTGAAGGTGTGCCGGTCCAAGGACCGGCTGAAGATAGCATAACCGCCCGACATATGGGTCGATCTTGGCGACAGATAGGAGCAGAGCAAACTAGGAGAGCCGCAAAAGAAGGAAATGGAGGGGTGGGGTCCACTAGAGTCATAATCACCTGTGCAAGGAGGAGAAATTAAGAAAATTTAGAGGGAAAGTTAGGAACAAAAGTTTTTGAAATGCTGTGAATGGATTATATTAAGGGGAGAACCTAGGATTTGATTTTTTTTTATGCATGTTTTGTTGTGGTTATTGTTTTTTTTCTTCTTGTGGTATTCCTAGCGACGTCTAGGGTTTAATAGAGACGATTTACCTCTCAAATAGTAGATCAGTCTTGTATCTTGCTTTTCTTCCTTTGATTGTTGTAAGAGCAGCCCCTATTTGTGTTTTTTCCATCTATCTATTGCGATTTCATTATGGTTTGTTTGCTGATTTTGGTATCGAGCAGTATCAAATTGATATCAGAGCATAGATCGTGGTGGGATGGCAACAAAGAAAGTTGATGTGCTAGAAGGTGAGATAGGGCAAATCAAATCAAGAATGGAAAAGAGGTTCGCCAACAAGGAGGGCATGTTTTCTTCCATTGAAAGTCGAATGGATGATGGATTTGAAAACATAGGAGAAATGCGAGAGATGATGAAAAAGCTTATGGAGAAGCAAGTCAAGGCCTTGCTAATCGCTCCAGCAGCCAATTCTAACCAACGCTTGATCAAGGAATCCTTGGTTAGGTCAAAAGGGAAGATGATCGAGCGAGAACACAATGAAGAAGTCCTCATCTACCTACAAGATCGTCCCCCTAGAACTCTGAGAGGAGGGAAAGTGAAGATTTCCGATGGAGGGGGATGGGTCGAAAATTAGAGGGATGGTGTAAGGGGCACATAAGAGCACAATGAACGAAGGAGGGATTCAGGAGTGGGATATGCCTATGACTGAAGGAGGGAGTTCCACCCTAGACATATGAGGGAAAATACCGGAGGGAAAAGAGGTTGGGGTGGAGATGCAAGGGTCAAGAAACTGAAGATGGCAATCATTGATGGGGATGATGCACATGGATGGGTGTATCGGATGGAGCGATACTTTACGATCAACAGGTTGACTAAGGAAGAGAAGCTCATGTTAGCAAGATTATGCTTTGAAGGAAAGGCTTTAGCATGGTTCCAGTGGACGGAAGCAAGGTATCTGATACACTCATGGGTAACAATGCAAGGTTACTTAGGGCTTCCATTTTTTAATGCATGTTTTGTTGTGGCTATTGTTTTCTTTCTTCTTGTGGTGTTCATAACGACATCTAGAGTTTGAGATAGAAGTTCTACCTCTCGAATAGTACATCAACCTTGTATCTTGTTTGTTTTCATTTGACTTTTCTAAGAGCAGCCCTTATTTGTGCTTTCTCCACTATTTATTGTAATTTCGCAGTAGTTTGTTTGCTGATTTTGGTGCCGAGGCGTATCATTCAACCCTTCCATTGATGGCCACCACTTGAAGCTCAGAACAAACTTTCCTTCCTGAACCAAAAGGAGTCAATCTAACATATAAGGAAGCCTTTAGCTTTGCCTGGACAAACTCTCCTTCCTGAATGTAGATGAGGTTTGGGATGATTGAATTAGTAACAAGTTTTCAGATCCTTACAGCAGCTTCTATTTCTGAACTCTGACATAGATTTCAGGATGCAAAATGATTCTTGCCAGAATCCATTCCAAAATGACAGTTGTTGCATCACTACTATATTCTTGTTAGAACCAGCTAAAAGAAAGAAGAGAACATAAATGAATTAATCTGAATTACATCAGTCAAAAATGTGCTTTTAACTGATAGTTCGCAAACAAAAAGAACATAATTATATTAATCTGAATTGCATCATTCACAAGGTATCATCATACACAAACAACATAACGATTCTCAGTTCACCAATAACAATTCAATCAAAACACAAACAACAAAATGTTGAAAAAAATATCTGAAACAAATTGTCAAAGTTTTTGTCCCATCTCGAAGTGCAATCCTGTCACTTGGTGGTATGATCGTGCTCCAGCTGTTCAACAAGGGGGCACAGGCTTTCACCTTAGCAATATCCTTAATTGCTATAAAAATCCTCAACTGACCAATTAACACCAAGAGAAAAAGGTAATTTTAAGAATTATTAGTCTCCACTCATTCCTGTTAAACGTTGCATAAGGTGTCAAAACCGTAAATCCTCAAGCACTTACATCCATACTAATCTCAAAATGCCAAGTGACTAATTTTATATCAAACATGAACAAAAATAAATAAATAAATAAGGCCATCTATGAAAGGTAATAAGCCAATGCAGTAGATTAAAATCATGCGGCTAATACATACTAGAGTTTTTGCACGAGAAATTGCTCCAACATCAATCATGATATTACTTACAATTCAGCTAATTTCATGCCATAATATTACTAACAATTCCAGTGACGAACTTAAAGAAGTTCCCATATGTCAATTCCCAGTGAAATGCAAAGACACCTAGACATGGCTACACACAGATATAATATATATATATGGCGATGACAGGAATTAAATAATAAGCAAGAACGGAGATGTAAGATCAACCGCAGAAGAATTTTTTTGGAAAACTTACAGATAAATCTATGTCAACTAGAAATCAATACAAGCTTATATATAGCTTTTAAGGCTTGTCTTGCATGTACAGGCAGTCTCAATGCAAAGAATGCTTTCTTCACATTTCTTCACCCTTATATCAGACAAGGCTCAATGCATAAATACAACACTCTTATAAGGACACCTATGACATTAACTTAAAGAACAAAGAAAGTTGAGAGACTAAAACAACAATAAGAAAAAATAAACAATATGAAAACAAGATTAAATATGGATCATTGATACCACAAAAGATTTAAATGATAATTTGGGGTTGCTTGCAATCATTGCTTCTCTTCCCCGTTTTCTCGCTCATTCTATAAACCACTGCTATGCTTACTCTCAACTGCTGGTAAAGAAATACTGACTTGAGAAATGCCTCTAATATTGTGCCAACCAGAGCCTGAAAATAACAGAGAGCAGTAACAATAACAGAAAAATTGTTTTCCACAAAAGCTGAAAACAAGAAAGCAGAACTGAAAACACGAATAAATAGGGAAAATCAGGAAATCCTATTCAAAACAAAGACAATATTAACATAAAATCAGGGAAATAAGATTAACAAGGTTCATCCCAAACATGTGCTCCACAGACGACTAGGGTGAAGCGTGTTTTGTGCGGTGGGGAGACAACGTCAGTGACCCAAAAAGACCTGAGCTCACTAAAAGGGGGTTTCATGTGCTGGATAGGCAGGAATACAAGGAGAGTTCAATCGCGCGCAAGGGAGAAATTCGCGCCTTGCCAATAATGGGAGATGTCTGGGACTGAAAAAATTGCTTAACTGGAGGAGTTCGGGCAGACGACATGGGAGAATCGAGGGGGGAGACAGAGTCTGTCGCGGGAGAGAGGGAGAGGACGGATTGCCCTTGGAAATGGATGGCAGTAGTTTTGGTGTATTAAAGAGTTTTGGATACAAGGCATGTAAATTTGAAGTTGAGGGTGTTTGATACGTAAAATTTTGAAGTTTGATGTTGTATGCATGTAAATGCCCCTTTACTCTCCATATTTTAATATAACAATGCTACCAACCTAAACACCGCTCATCAAATATACAACTCCGAAACTATCCCGCATGATACGCCATCTCCAGGACCGTCACAAGCACTTCTCATTTCTTCCCTGCTTCTTGCATTTTTCCACTGAATCTGTATAGCTCTCGCCCCAGTCCTCCTTCACATCCCCACTCCATCCTTCTCTCTGCAAGCAGCCAACCACGCTCCATCCTTCACTCCACAAGCAGCCAGCCCAGCGCTGCCATCTGCAAGCAGCCAGCCCCGCACTGGCACTGCAAGCAGCGAACCCCGGGCAGTCCTGCTCCGGCCTTCAATCTTCAATCAGCGAGCCCTGCTCCGGCCTGCACTCCGCAAGCAGCTACCACTGCTCTGAAGCAGCAACCTGTCTTTCTCTAAGTCCCACAAGCTTTCATGGAATGGGCTTGAGTTATGATAAAAAAATAGCAACAATATTATACATGGGAAAAAAGGTGGTTGGTGGCATGCCGCCATTTAATGTAACTTGTAATTTCCATAGGAGGAATAAATCCACTTCTTTGGAGACCAATTTCAGGCATCGGTTCTTCGATCACCCTTCTTACGATAGTGAAATCATGCCATTTTTTGGAAAAATTTTAGATGGGATTGCTCAGATTTGTTGTCACTGATACTCTAAATGATTGGTTTATTGACACAAATTTGTATCTTTGGATGGACGGCAAGAGTTCTTAAAAAAGAAGAAAAGAGGTTTGATTAACTATAAAATGCCTTCCTTTCTCATTCTTTGGTTTCATAGTTTAAGAAATTTGACGGCTATTTTTACATGGGTGCAAGCAGAAAGATCTCTTCAACTGGATGGGTGAAATCATCTTATGGAAAGATAACCACAAATTTCTTCCAGACTTTTAATTTCACTGAAAAGATGAAGTTTGCAGGAAATGGAAGATTGAAGAGCTGAGACAGAGTATAGCTTATAATCATGGAAGCTATGCAAAATACGCATCTTTAGTTCTGTATTCTTAACTTCTCAGAATTTTGGAGTTATGCATGTAAGGGAAAGCTGGTTACTAGTGGTGTAGGTAAGACTAAACAAATTTACAGATATGAAGGAACGGATGGTTGTTACTCTAGAAAAGTTAAATGTTGGGAGTGAGAATTACACAATTTTATATTATAAATGTGAAGAAAATTGTAAACAGAGTACGAAGTTTGGCCCTTTGGGACATTTTTTAAATTTTGCATAATTGGTGGAACGAATAATGAAACTGAGAAGCTTCAATGAGTGAATCAGAAAAGAGTTTGGCTTGTAATGTAATTCAGCTCAGATTAACTTGTATTTACTTGATCACTTTCTTCACATCAGTGTCGTATTTCAATAAAGGGGCATTTACATGCACAAAAACCAATTCTTATGTATCTACACATGTAACACCTAAACTTTAATTTTTACATTTATACCACCCAAATCTTTCATATCACATCAAAAATATCGCCATGTTACCTTTAAAAAAGTGAAATTCACCTTTTCATGATGTAAGATGGCATATATGTAAAAGTTGAAGTTTAGGCGTTTAGATATTGAAATACATAGGAGTTGTGTGGTATGGATGTACTGCATATTTCCTACAAAAATAAAAAATAAAAGGAAAGAAGAAAAGTGAGGCCTTGACAAGCACTTACAAGACTGAATAGTTCTCTCATATTCAGAACTTTGAAGTTAGCATTTAGTTCTTGAGAATGATTTATTTTTTATTCGTCTGTAATTATTATGATTTATCCCTTTTGTTTTTCTATGACAATTCGTTTCTTCCTTCAAACGTTCTATATGGTAGAAATATTAAATAGAAGGTTTTGGCACTTGCAGTAAAGCATTCGAATCATGTTGCTATAATTTACTAAAAGCAAACTAAACCTTATTTTCACTTACTTAATTTTTTTTAACAAATTTAGTGTTGGATTAATGAAATGCTGGAGGTCGTAATTTCTCATGCTCTTTATTTTTCATTGCCTTTAATTAATCATTATACTAGCATAATTTATCATCAAATTCGATTGAACTCATTCTTTTATTGTTATAGATCATAAATGTGCTATAAACAATACTTTTTGCAACTGAAAACATACATTATCACATTTGTTTTTTTACCTCTTATCCATGGTGAAGTGCCAACTATTCATATTATAGAACGTCAGAGTAAGCACCATTATAATAAATCGATCTGCTTAAATGAAGGAAATAAAAACCATCGAACCTTAGAGCTGTATACACTAGTGTTCCTATATGCATCACCGTTCTATGAATTTTTACATCATTGCATATGGTCTGCTAAATAATGGTTAAATTGTTTGAAACCGCCTGATAAGATTAGTTGGCTGTTTACACATAGGTTGGCACAATGTGAATAATAGATTAGAGTGAACAAGATGCTAAAAGAGAAACCTAAATTCCTGGAACAACCAAAGTTTAAAAGGTTGGATAACCAAGAGAGACTAAAACTAGATTAAGAGAGTATATGACAAAATAATAACTGCATATTGAAGGAGAATAAAAAGCAAATATATAGATGAGGTAGGAATATCATTGACTGAATTTTTCTTATATATATATATATATAATATTTGATATCATAGAGAATTGATAGCACCATTGAAGTTTATAACTATATGACACATGGAGTTCTCATTGCAGCGATCTTATTTGAAATAATTCTCTTAATTCTCTTATTCATATGCAGAGTACATATATACAAAGAAAACAATCTCTCCTAACTTACAAACTTACCAAATATATCTAACCAAAATTAGGAAAGAAAATAATTTTGAAAAAAAAAATAACATAGAATAGGAAAGTTATAAATTAATCAAGGGTTTCTTAAGCTGTCTCAATCAAATCCTCCACAAGATCTTCTTAGATTTCTACTCCCCCTCAAGTTGGGCCATAGATGTTGTAGAGACCAAACTTGGTATTGAACTCTGAGAAGCTGCTCAAAGAAAGAACCTTAGTGAAGACATCAGCAACTTATTGGAGTGTCGAGATGTAGCTTAGTTGTATAATTCCCTTATTAAACTTTTCAGAGAGAAGTGTCTATCAACTTCAATATACTTGGTCCTGTCATGATGCAAGGGATTCTTGGCAATACTGATAGATGCTTGACTGTCACCAAAAACAACAACTGCTTCTTACTTCCATGTCACCAAATTTCCCTATACATAGGAGCAGTAATCGATAACCATTGGTGGACCTTCAATCAATGAATTCCTCAACCCAACAAGCATCAGTACAGGCATTCACATCTCTGTTTCTGATTTTCTCAAAGATTAATCCATAACCAGAAGTTTTTTTGAGAAACCTCAAAATTTTGTACATCACCTCCAAATATTTTTTGTTTGGTTAATTCATGTATTGACTCACAATACTGACAGAGTATGCAATATCTAATCTCGTATATGATAGGTAGATGAGTTTTCTTACCAATCTTTGATATCTTCCCTTATCCATAGAGACACTTTCTTCTCCCCTCTTTGACTTTTGGTTAGTATACATTGAAATATCAGTAGGCTTACATCCAATCATCCATGCTTCTTTTAGTAGATCTAGGATGTATTTCCTCTGTAATATAACAATGTCTTTCTTGGACATTGTTATCTCCATACATACAAAATAACTCATGATTCCTAAGTTTTTTATTTCAAACTCAGTTACAAACACTTCTTTAATCTTAAGAATCTTTTTTCATCCTTACCCGTAAGAATCATATCATCTACATAGATTGTCAATGCAACAATCTTACATTCCTGAGTGTGTATTAGAAATAGAGCATAATCAGCTTGACTTTGAGAGTATCCATTAGATCTCATAGTTTTGGCAAATTTTTCTAATCACGCTGTTGGTGATTACTTAAGCTCAGAGAGAAACTTGTTGAGTTTGCATACAAGATATTTGTTGTAATCATTCTTAAGTCCTGGTAATATCTCCATATATAATTCTTTTTCAAAATCCCCATTCAAGAAGACATTTTTTATCTCAAGTTGTTGCAGTCATCATACATTGTTAATTGCTACTGAAAAGAGAATGTTGAAAGTGTTATGTTTGGTAACCGGTGTGAAGCTTTCGTGATAGTTGATCTCATTGGTTTTGAGTGAACCATTTTGCAACAAGTTTAACTTTGAATCTCTTAGTATCCCCATCATCTTTGTATTTGATGTTAAACACCCATTTACACCCAACCGACATCTTATCCTAAGGGAGTTTAGTAAGAATCCATATACCATTAAGCTTCTTGAAAAGCTTTTTTCCTCCATTCTAGATTTTCAAGAGCTTCATGAATGTATTTAGGAATCCGCATACTATCAAAATTAGAAACAAGAGCTTTGTAGGATGAGGATAGCTTCTCATAAGCTGCACTCTCCT